TGGCTCAGAAACTGATTTGTGGCACATGCCAGGAGAGCCACGAGCCGAGTTCTCCTCCTTTCGTAATCTATTAAAAATGTGATTTTAATGTTTTCTTAATATGCCTTGCGGAAGCCCCCACACACGCCACACACACGCCACACACACGCCTTTTGCCCCCACACCTTTTCCCCCACCCTCAAACATTTTTCCAACTTTTTGCTGATATGAAAATTCACTTTTAGGGATCTGACTCGATATTTATGTGGCATGCCCCTACCCCAAAATATCTTTCACTCGCGTGTGTAAACCTTGCCCATAAAAAAAAGGGAATAAATATTCCCTGCTGCTGCTACTGCTGCTGTTGCGGCATGCAACATTCCTACAAATGTCAAATTATCTTGTAAATATTGTGGCATTTGAATTTTATTTGCCCAAAGGAATGCAAATGGAATTTAATTAACGGATGGATCACCCAGCGCAGTCCCCACACACTCTCCACTCTCTACCCTAATACTGCTCACCCGCACAGCATTAAAAGCCAATTAAGCGCCAGGACTTCTGCTCATAATTCATATGAAATTCACAGGGAAAAATGCAGGCGCGCGCGCTTCTGGCCAATGGTCATAAATGCCAATCATTGCAGCAGTCAGCAGCACAAGACTACAGAGAAGAGAGAGAGAGAGAGAGAGAGGGAGAGAGAGCTAGAGGATATTGCAGAACAAAAAGTGGGGGAAGCGGGACGTAAAAAGACCAACCAATTGAGACTTAAAAAAAGCAACAAAAAAAAAAACAAAGAGAAGAAAATAAAAAAGAAAAAAAAGATGCAAAAAAAAAAGGGCAACAAAATAACAATTCAAGCTTTTAATTTCATTGCTTTTGAGCACTCCCCTGGGAATCGCATGATAAATGAAGGCCCAGACGACCCGTGAGCCAAGCCTTCGCGAAAGCAGGAAAGGAACCTCCCAGACTGACGGCAAAGTGGGGCAAGCAGCCCCAAAGGTTGGTTGTTGTAGAGCAGTTCATTCACACGCCTTCGTGTACAATCAATGCGGTGGAAGGGAAGGGTAGCAGCGAGCTGGAGAGGGTAGCTCTCCATGGGGAGCAGCGGATAGGAGTCGGTCTGCGTCTGGGAAGGAGCAACTGAAGCAGCAAGCAGCAGTGGTGTGAACAGCAGCTTCTGGAGTCTAATTGGCGTAGATACTGGCGCCTGAAATAGAAACCGAACCGAACCCGTTGCAGATGCCACACAGCTGCTGCTGCTACCCCTGAGGCATGAAGCTGGTGCTGGTGCTGGTGCTGGTTGAGGGTTCTGCCTTCAAAAGAGTTTCTCTTCAAAAGTCAAAGGGAAGTTGTCAGAAATATTGCATAAATATCCAGACAAGACACTCGTAGATTATTCATTTGGCCATTCAAAGCAAAGTGCGCGTAAATTTATGTGACAGCGCGTGCCCCCGCCACGATGATCCCCTCCCCACCCATCAAACCAAACGACTGGCAAAAGTTTTAGCCGCAAAGAAAAGGCAAACGAAAGCAGAAAGAACACGTGACTGTGACTGTGGCTGAAACCATGGCAGTACCCTGTAATTATAATTGCATAAAATATGGCAAATTTATGGAAATTTTTGGCACATATTTTGATGAATTTTCAAATTTATTTCGTCAAGATTTATAATGGAGGAAAAATAATATAAAAAATATATATGCATCGTATATTTTTGGGTATTATTTGTAACTGATTTGGAAATTTTTTATGTTTTTAATTATTTCGCAGATTATAGGGGAAAAATAAAATATTTTTAGATATACATATGTATGTATATTTTTTGGTATTATTTGTAATTGATTTGGAACATAAAAATATGAAACATATTTTGATGAATTTTTAAATTTATTTCGTCAAGCTTTATAATGGAGGAAAACGAAAAAAAAAATATATATATGCATACGGTTAATTTTGGGTATTATTTGTAATTAATTTGGCACATATTTTGATGAATTTTTAAATTTATTTCGTCAAGCTTTATAATGGAGGAAAACGAAAAAAAAATATATATATATGCATTCGGTTATTTTTGGGTATTATTTGTAATTAATTTGGCACATATTTTGATGAATTTTCAAATTTATTTCGTCAAGCTTTATAATGGAGGAAAACGAAAAAAAAAATATACATACGTATATTTTTGGGTATTATTTGTTATTAATTTGGCACATATTTTGATGAATTTTCAAATTTATTTCGTCAAGCTTTATAATGCAGGAAAAATAAAATAAAATATATATTTATTTTGGGTATTAATTGCAGGCATACCTTAAATACTTTCTGATCCTCCGATTAGCCTGGGAGTATATTTTTGGGGTGTGCATCTATAAGATACTTTCTGCTACCAAAGCCACCATTCTGGCTCCTCTGTCGTCTCAAAACGCCCAGCCAATTTAAGGCAGGGTATTCCTGCCAAGTGGCGAGACGCTTGATATTGTTTTAATGAAATTCGAATTGATTCTGCACCCAACCATCCCCACTCCCCCTAAGCCACACAAATGGCAGCCATTTTGTATTTGCCTGAACATTTTAATCTAATTTCAATGTTCGCAGGCACCAAAAAAAAAAAACCCAAAAAAATAAAACAAAAAGAATGGAAGGCAAAGTGAAAGTGAAAGGCAACGAAGCGTAAACGTTGAAAAGTTTCCCAATGCTGCGCGGAAACAACAAAAAAGGGAAATGCGGCAAATACACACCGAAATTTGTTAGGTAAATTCGCGTGCAACATTTTGTGGTCAGTCGCCGCCCAAACTCATCCGGCTGTCAAAGCGGTAAAGTTAACGCCAATTGCCAAAAAAAAAAAAATATACAAAAAAAAAAACGCACTCAATTAGCTTTGATTAAATGGAAGCAGCTCAACCCACCCCCCTGCCCAGCGGACGACCTTGGTGGCATTTGAAAAGAAAAAAAAGGTATTAACATGCAGCTGACAGGCGCTTCGTGACGGGCTTTAGTCCACTTCGATCGGCCATAAATAAGGCTTAAAGTTGATTGAATTATGGAGCAAGCGATTCGAGTAGCGATATGCATACAGACAGAGGGAGGGACAATGAGAGAGAGCAAAGAAAAGAAAGAGAAAAAAAAGAACTGTTTGAAATCTGAATTTGCCTTTAAGTTTCATCCTCAAAACTAGGAGAATCTTGTAAGTAGATTTGCAGGTGGCATTCTCTCTCTCTCTCTCTCTCTGCCAGTGCGTGTGTGTGTGTGGGATTTAAGGCTTCAGGGTAATTGTGGAGCTGCTGCATTTGTACTTGTCGTTTTATTAGCATTTGATTTGACCCCAAAAAGTGTTTGCCTTTGACAGCTGCTGCTGCTGCTGGCTCCTTCAGTTCTTAACTCTGCTGCCTGCCACTGGTTGTTGCTGTTGCTGCTGCTGCCTTTTCATTTGCATTTTGCAGTTTGCTTTTTTGCGCCTAATTAAGAAGGCCAAACGATGCAGGCAGCAGACGGACACAGGGACACAGGGACACAGAGCCATGGACAACGGACAGTATCTGCTGATGCTGGCGCTGCTGCTGCTGCTGCATATCCTTTGAGGCTGCCACTGGCTGCACAGTGAAGGCTTCCCATGGCTTATTATCTCATCTAATTTACGGGCTTTCCTTCTTGCCCTGCGCATATTCACGTGCGCCCTTTTTTGCCCGTCGTTTTTCCCACTCGTTGATTCAAACTAAATGAAATCAAGCCGTGTAATGAGCAAAAAACTTGTGCAACATTTTGCTTGCCAATGCTTCAGGCCACCCCCCTACCCTACCCGACCCCAGCAGCAGTTCATAATTCACCCCCCCCCTGCAAAGCCCTTTGGGTACTACATTTTCATGAAAACAATTTCGCGCATTGCGCTGGCTGTCATTTTTTTTTTTTGGTTGGTGTTTTTTTTTTGGCTGTTGACCGAATGGCAGGAAAATTTTAATTGTTGCATGCCCCCGTCGTCACATGCCACAATGCCTCGAGGTGACTCCCATAGGGGCAGCACATCTCTGTGTGTCTGTGTGTGTGTGTGTGTGTGTGTGTGTGTCCCGTTTGGCTCCTGTGGTCCTGTTAATGTGTCCATTGTGCTGGTTAACAAAACCAATTTGCCTTAGTGGATTTTTATGCTACAACTGCACAGTCCGAGCTCCGGAATTTTGTATCCGGTTTTGCCCCCACCACAACGCTTCTTGTTTGTTTGTTTGTTTGTTTATTTTTCTGTTTTTCCATTTTTCGGCTGTGTTTGTGGACAGTTTTTGTTTTGTTTTTTGTTGGGGACTGTTTTGCTGCCGAATGTTTACGGACTGGAAGTCGTCTTTGGCTATTTGTTTAGGTCATGATTTGCTTTTAATTGCATTCGTGGCTGCAGTTTTCTTTCGGCTGGAAGAGTGTATTAAGCCAGAGGGGGGAGTTGGGAAATGCAATTAAATATATATAAAAAATATACAAAATAAAGCTACAAATTAGTCAAAATTTACCTACAATATTTAGCTTCAATATTTAGCTAAATTAAATTGCCATAAAATTTCTGCTAATAATAAAATTGAAAATTGATAAATATTTAAATTTCATTGAAAACAAATCGCGTTCTATATTAAATTTAAATTTAATTTAACCACAAAATAACGGCTGAAAAATGTGAAGCTTGCACAAAAATATTTGTTTTTAATTAAACGAATCATTTAAAAAGAATATATTGGTATGGATTTTCTTTTGAAATTGATTTATTGACTAACAGAACATAAAAACTGGCTAAATCAAATTATATTATTTTGGGGCAGCCAACAAATACAGAAGGCAAAAATGTGCAGCTGCTGAATTTATTTCTATTTATATGCCCAAAAAACTTTATCAGATTTTTTTTTTTCTCAAAAGTCAAAAGGCAAAAACTAATTTCTTGAAAATATTTTCATTGAAGATTTATAATATTTAAGCTCTTGCTCTCTTGCTATTTTAAAGTTGATAATCCCAATGGTTCATTCATTTTTATGTCTTTTCTTTTCAGGCATAAACTAAATAAAAAAAAAAATTAAGTTCCTGAGACGTCAACACACTATAAATACACCTATTTATACCATAGAGCTAGAGATAGATCAAAGATGTCGATGAATTGGGCCCTGTATTGGGGCATAATGTGGGTGCTTTCAGGTAAGTTCTGTCAACCCCCTAGAACAGCTGTTCGGCTCTCCCTGCCAGGGGAATTTTCTATACTTTTTCAACATTCGCATCACGTAAAAACAATTTCATTTGTTGGTTCGATGTAGGGCGCAAGCTGTGGCTGTGGCTTTCGCGAGCTGTAGTCTGTACAGAAATTGTTTTATATCAGCTACTGCTACCCACTGCTACCCACTGCTACCCACTGGCGCCCCACTGCTACCCACTGCTACCCACTGACGCCGCCCTGCTCCTCATCTCTCCTTTCCCCTTTTCTATTTTATATAAACTGAAATTTAAAATAACAAGCCGTAAGCGTGCTTTGATTATTGCAGGAAAATTTCAGCGCATTGCAAATTGCAAATTGAGCAGAAAAAAGGCATAGCATAGCATAGCCCCCCTCGAAACCCCCCCAAACACCCCTTGCACATTCATGGTAAAGGTTGACATATGCGGTATGGGTTGTTAGGGAGGGTCTATAGGTGGGTTTCCACAGCACAAATGTTCGTTTAAATATGAGCAGGAGTAAGAGATGTTCTGGTTGATACATCGATGAAGAGATGTCCTGGCAGATGTCTTTGTAGTTGGCTCTGGGGTTCAGTATTCTCTCTTTGTGTGTGTGCCTGTGTGTGTGTGTGAACTTCATGCAGCAATTGAAATGCATAAAGCATCCCAGCATTCAAGTTAGCATTCATTTTCAATAGTTCTCCTCTCTTTGACTGAAGGTAAATATCATTTAAATTACTTTCTCTGGCAGCAAAAAGAAACTAGAGAAAAAAGGAGATATAAATGCAGAGAGAATCAGAAAACTACTAGCCAAAAAACCAAAAAAAAAAAACCTGAACCCATTTGATTGCTTAATTTATTTATTTAATATTTGTTCCCAATTCCTTTTTTTGCCGGGAAGACACAAGCCACACAACACACACCACTCAGAGGTCACACAACACACACCACTCAAAGGTCACCCCTCCCCCGCCACCGCCATCATTTCCACTGTTTGGCTCAACGGCTGGCAATGGCAATCAATAAAATGTCAAAGCCCTGCCAAAATATTTCGTCTGATTAAAGTCTAAAGCTTAGCAGGCAATGCCACAGCGTTGCGTGCTTTGGGGAGGCGCCACCACCAGCGCTCCAGCCAGAGGGAGCGAGAGAGAGAGATCAAAGAGCAGGGCTGATTGTAAAGCAAGCGTCAAAATGGGGCAAGTAATCAATAAAAAAAAGAGAGACAGAGGGCAAGGCCAAGGGAATTTCTTGTGGAAAAAATTTAAAAAAATATTTTTAAAAAAAAAAGGTAGTCTTTGGTGACCCCAATCAGCGATTATCTGAAGCTACGCCATCTGCAAGAGTGAATTGTCAAGTTTGGCAGGGCTCCACTTGGATCTGCATCGTTGTTCATTTCATGGCATAATTGCCAACATAATTCTCGAATGTCAAAGACATTGTCGCTCGCCCTCCCCCCGGACAGGGATCCGTCCAAGGCTCTCTCATAAGCCTTGTCACGGTAAGAGCAAGGGGAAAGCACATAAATCAGTACGATTCCAGCTCTGCCATACCGCCACATACCCCCCGCCCAAGGCTGTTGTCCAGTGCCACAACGAGTTAAATAGTTCCATAATGTGTGTGGGGGGCAGGCAACGATAGAGAGAGAGAGAGAGAAATATGAAAGATGCCACAAGAAATGGCATGAAATGAAGTCCCTTACAGAGCGAAGGCTGCTAAAGATGATGACGGCAAGGGCGGCAAGGGCGGCAAGGGCGGCAAGGAAGGAAGGATGGCAGCATCTTAGCTGAACGACTGACTGACTGACTGACTGACCTACAGAATGATGGAAGGAAGTGACTTATAGAATGACTTACAAACTGATGGAATGAATGACTTACTGACTCGCCGAATGAGTGACTTAGTGGAACCCTGAAAAAGACGCTGATGCCATTTATAACCAAGAATGGGGTTGGCTTTCATTTCGTTTCGTTTCGTTTCGCTGCGGCAATGGTTTGTACTGCCTGCTGCCTGCTGCCTGCCGCCTCCTGGCCCCTTGATGCGATAAGAATAATTGGAATGTCAGTTTAGATACGCGCACGTAAAATGCGAACGCAAAACGACATCCACATAGCCACAGAATCGCACAGGGAACAATCCGCGGATGGGATGTGTCTGCTGCCAGTTGTGGGCGTGGGCGTGGCTGTTGCTGCTGCTGCTGCTGTTGCACATGTTGCAAGGCGAGCAGTAAATATGGTACAATAGCATCCTAGTTCTCTCGTCATCGCTGGCGCACTTGGCTGAACAATGACATAAGTCTAATGACAAGCAGAACGACGACGACTACGACGAGGACGACGAGGACGACGAGAGCGACCGCAAAGCCACCAGCAGCAGCAGCAGTAGGGATCCATCAGTACAGCACCCAGCAGCACCCCTCAACCAGAGTTTCCAGATGCTGCTGCTGGTGCTGGTGCTGCTGTGATGACACTGACAACAATGACAACGCTGACATGACATGCAGCGGAGCTGTGCGGTGCGGTGCAGCAAGCAACAAACAAAAACAAAAAAAAGGAAAAGAATTTCCAAAAATGGACACACAACGGAGACTCATTTCGAGTCTGTAGCCATAAAGATACCCTTTAGATAGCCTAAAAGTACGCGAATTAAGGCCAGCAACTGGTATGAAAACGAAGTTAAAACTATAAAAATGATGGCATTAATAAAACTACTGGGAAAAAGTAGAAGAAATCTTCTGATTGCTGCCAAAGGATTTCTACTGATTCTAGTGATATTTTTGGTTTAGTTTTGATTATGTGTATTATTCCACCTACACACATTTTCCATAGCTTCCGGGAATTAATAGAATTTAATACCTCAAGAACTAGCTCCAGTCCCAAAGTCCAGAAAAAAAATCAAATTATTACACAATTGTTTTTAAGAATTCCTTCATTTTGATAAGAGTACAAAAAAATATATTGTTAGTGCAGAAGAATTAGAAAAAAATTAAATAGAGATTTAAAAAAAATGAACATCAAATAAATCGTTTTTTTTTTAATTTTATATTTTTAATAAATAAATAATTGTTTTTAATTTATTTTAAAATTTTATATACATATGTATATTTGTAATAAATAAATAATTTTGTTTTAATTTGTTTCTTCAATTTTATATTTTTTTAATAAATAAATAATTACTTTTTATTTGAATAAAGAATTAAAAAAGAAGAAGTATTTCAATATGATTGTTTTGTTCCTGTTTTGGTGCTGTCTGTGCCTGATACTAGAAGCATTTCCATTGAATTTTTCCCTGCTCATATCCGTGGATTTCCCCAGCTGATTCCTGGCGCATCATTATTTTCAAATATCCACAAAAGATAGACACAAAAAGAGTCGCTGGGTAAAGAAATCAGAAACTAAACAGAACGGACGGGGGGCAGCAGGGCCGAACCATGTCCACAGAGGGGCAGAAATGTAGAGTGAGGAGTGCGAGGCGGCGGGGTGGAAGTTCTCTGTTTAAGCATAAATTTCGCTGCATGCTGCGGTCAGCAATATGCGTCCATGATAAACGAGCTGGGGATAGGGCTGGAGACTGGAGACTGAGCACTGAGGGTTTTTGCATGCAGTCAGGCTGCTCCATCATTGCGTGGGGGATTCGCATGAGATTCGAGCTGCCATTTCAGGAAGAGAGAGCAGCAGAACCATAGTGAGAGAGAGAGAGAGAGAGAGAGATGCATCACTAAGCCACTGAGGCGGCAGTGAGGCATTCAGCCAGCGAGCCATGCCCATTTATCGTCTAAATTGAAATTGAAAATCAGGCAGGCGCAACGTAGAGTCCATCCCAGTGGCAGATTGCTGCTCCCCCTGCTGCTGCTGCTCCTGCTGCTCCTCCTGCTGCTGCATTTGATGGCCACTCCACACACACAGGATACACAGGATTTTCTTGATTAGCTTGTTGCGCATGCGTTATGGGCGTGTTCATCAGCAGCGCCACACAACAACTGGAAAATGTCTCCTTTACTGGGTGCCACTGGGACACGCCTCCAAGTCCCCCCCCCCCCCATGGACAGCGGTTCTGTCAGCAACAGAAGCGAGGATGCTGTCGAGGAGGTCTTTATGGCAGGGTTTGCCACTCCTGGGTTGCCACTCCTGGTGCTGCTGCTGTTGCTATTGCCCATTCCTGTGGCTGCTGTCGGTTCTCATTATTCTGTTGCAGCTGTATCTGGATCTGCCGCTGCTGCATCTGCGGCTGCTGTATCTGCTGCATGCTGCATGCTACTAGCTGATCTGCGTTGCAGCCTTCCATGCAATGAGAGAGTGTCGAGTCTGCCCTCTTAAGCACACAATTTACGCCCAAGAATCTCTAACGTTGGCACATAATCCAACCAGAGCAAGAACTAGCAGCCTTCCCAAACATTTAATTCACATAATTTCGAAGGGAATTCAATGTCAAAAAAAACGCCCAAGAACTATTCCTTCAGTTTCGGCTACTGCCGCTAACATTTTGCTTGGATTTTCTCAACCCACTAGCCCAAAAGAAAAATGTCACGGAAATTATGAAAAGAAGCCAATTGAAAATGTAAAAATTGCTGAACTTGGCACAAAACTCATTTGACATTCAAATGGCAGCACAGCCCTACCCACAGCCCCACCTCCAGCTCCACCTCCACTGCCTTCACTCTTTGGGTTAGTTTTTTTATTCTATAGATTTCAACTTTTTGCACTCATTTTTCTAGGTTTTTCTTGGTGTTTTTTTTTTTTTTTTTTTGATAAATGTCATGGCTTGATTGGCTGCCAGAACGACCATTAGGCGGCACAGCTCCAGTGTGGCGACATGGGGCATTGGGGGGGCAATATATTACACGCTTATATGCAAATGAGTTCAATTTCTGACCAACCGAAAAAGGCATTATGTCCAGGAATGAATTCGGGTGCGAAGAAAATTGCCAACTTAGTGAATTATAAAACGGTCGGTGGGTGGTGGTGGGGCGAAAACTGCAGAAGCGGAAATGT